ACTCGAGTTGCAACCAGAGTCACGGAACGGATTAAATTCGTATCCCGAGGTACCACTGTATATAAAAGTCCATTTGTAGTATTAATTTTAAATTTTGTATAGCAGAGATAATCTATTATTAAAGGTAACTTATACTGCATTGTATAGTAACTTTTAGTTACTATAACTAAATGATGGAGGCCAAATATGAGTTGACCAATTGTTAACTAAAGGATTCTTCAAAATTCTTTGCTGCATTGTTAATTTTACCAGTGCCGTTTCCCATGTTTTAAATACAACTGTTCCATGAATGATGGATGATGTACTTTAGTTTTCCATTGTTTTTCTACAGTAAATTTGGCAACTTACAACAAAACCTGTTTGTACCAAATATATAAATTTTGGGGGAAAATTGACATAGAGGACTTATTAGGATTAATGAATATCACAAAGCTGTATCTTTTCACTTTCCTCAAAACCTTTGATCAACATTTTGTTAATCAAGATAAGTAACTAAATGGAAATCGTCACCGTAGATGCTAATGTGTACTACTGTAATAACGCCTCCAACACCAATCCAGAAAGACCTTGATTAATATAATGGATATTTGAGAGGTTGTAGTATCATCTATGAATTATTTTACAGTCAGTTCTTGATGATTTGCCAAAACAGATTTGAAGAGAATTTTTTATCATGAAGACTTTCAAGCTTAATCATTAACATCAAATCTCAAATTCTCTTTCCATACAATTTAGAGACTTTTAAAAAAGCTTGTTGCTTTCATTTGGGTACAGTAGTGAAAACATTCCTTTGCACTACTCTTCAAATACTGTTAATAATCTTAATTGCTAAGCTTTCATGAATTTAAGAAAAAAAGGCAATGCTGTCTCATTTCAAACCAGGTTGGAACTTATGATCAAGTCTTCTACAAGATGTATTTAATACGGTTAGGTTTCTCATCAATAATAAAGTCTCTTAATCAATGTTTCCATTCTCTGAATCCTGCATGTTTAAGTTAATATTCATCTACATATTTAAACTTTGGGTGATTAAAGAATGAGAAAAGACTAGAAATAGTTTTCATTTTTTCCAAACTTTTAAGGTAAGTTTTTCAAAACTGTCCAGTATAAGAATAATATTGCTCTAACAGAATGAGAGTCCAGTACTAATTCAACTTGTACTAACTCAATGAATATCTTTTGAGTCCTGAATAATATGTTTAACTAAAAAGTATCACAATATTTCAGATTAAAAAACCCAGTTTTTTAAAAAAAACAACTCTACATAAACAAATTCTTTGCCATGTAAAACACCAAGTAATAGGAAAGAGAATTGGAAGTACTTGAAAAAGGACCTGAATTTTAGGAAACAATAATAAATGTAATGACACATATTCTATCTAGTAGCAATAAAAATGAAGATACAACTTAAATTTTGTTTTAATTGACTGCAAAAGAGGATGAGAATTATATTTCTTAAAATGCTGCCAAACCTGTTAATAATTACTCCTAAGCAGCTAAATCCAACCAGTTCTTGAAACTCTTTGTCAATGTTGATTAATGTAACATTTATCAAAACTGACTTCTTGTCTTGCTACTATGAAAGTTATTCAACTGAGTTATATTTCTACAGATTTTGATGGAAAATGAAATTGTCAGCTGCCATCAGATTATATGAAGTTTTGTTTTTATATGAAAACCATGAAGTTTCTTATTCCTTTTAATATTCTATGCTAATATTTCTATAATGAGATGAAACAAAATAAGAGAAAATGGACATCCTTGTTTAGTAATCCAATTTATTTTTTAAAAAAGTATCTGCCCTATTAGTCTTGACTACAGCTTATGCCAATGATTATATGATGTTTCATTTAGCAATAAAATTATGTCTGAATTTCCAATTATAACATTTTAAGAAGCTTTTCTGAAGAAACAACACAATATACATATAACACAATGTACACAAACAATTATTTTTAGGCATTGTTTATTACTGATCCTTACATATGTTGGAAAATTACTGTGGGTAATTTCCAGTTTAGTTTGCCTTCAGCACACTCCCAGTCAACCCCCACATCCAGATCAGAGCAAGCACACATACCACTTAGTACAGTTAGCAAAAATATAGCTTGACGTTTATTTACTAAACATCAGCAAACACCAAATACTGTATGGTTAACTGGTAAAACAGGGCAAAAGGCAGGATAGCTAGATATCAAAAAGAACAGAACTTTCTAGAGTCACTGGAAACAATACTGTGGGAATTAGCATCAACAATCCCAAACAGAGTAGGCTTTGGTTATTCCAGGTTTAACCTTTTTATGTACACAATTGCAGCAGAATAGAGATGGAAAGTAGGACAGTAGGTATCCCTCCTCT